CCTGCAGGACCCAGAGGGTGTGCCCAGCGGCACAGCAGCCCGGGCCTTGGACAGGCAGCTCCCAACAGCACAGCCAGACAGGTACTAGGCCTGAGGGGCAAGCTGCTGGGAGAAGGTACTCAGGGCAGAAGAGAAACTTAGGAAACCATGGTGGGATTTACCAAACCCGTTTATTGCTGTGACATCCTCTGGAAGCCGTCAACCAGCCCCTGACAGACAAGGCCAGGTGTGGGCCCCGGTGAGCCGGTGCACGTGCCCGGCCTGTAGCCACACAGCTGCTGCCTGAGGCCCTCCCAGTCGAGGACTGGCTTTCTGGCAAATTGGCTAAAACCCAACAGGGAAGAGTGATGCTCAGGCAGTCTCCACCTCCCCGAGACCCCAGTCCTAGACAGTAAAGGAAAATGCCATGAGTACCCCTCCCTCCCCAGTAAAACCTGCCCTGGTCCCCCAGGCCCCACCGTGGCACAGGGAGTGCCCTGCACTCTGCAGCAAGCCAGAAACCCAGACCGGAGAGGTGCTGGCCCCTCACTCACTGTCCCAGCAATCTCCCCAGACCACAGCCCCACTGTGTGCTCAGCACACGCTGTGGGGGCTGGGCTCAGGAACCTCAGGCCGTCGGATCTGAGCTGCAATAGGCCCTGCTGGGCTGCGGCCCTCACAGACACTTCTGGAAGACCCGGTGCAGGCTCTGGGCCAGCACGTCTGTCTCCTCCCTCCCCTCACAGCTTTGCTGCCAGCTCTCTGGCACCTGATCCATCCCATAGTATGCACCAGCAATGGCCCCAGCCATGGTGGCTGTCTGTGTCCCCACCAAGTGAGATGGAATAGATCAGAGTCCTCTGGAGGCTGTTGAAGGCGGAGGGGATCTCAGGGTCGGGCGCCATGCAGCGCAGGAAGCAGTAGATGGCGGTGGGCACAGACTCGAAGGCGGCGATGCCGTTCCCTGGGGAGGAAGGGCAGATGACAGGGCCCTGCCTGGCCTCCAGCCTCAGGTCACACTCTCAGCTGTAAGGAGGGGCTGGATAAGATCACTTATCGCCCTGCTTGGATTCGAATCTGGCTCCACTGGGACAGGCACCTAACGGCTGAGACTCCTGGCCTTGGGTTCCATGACTAGTCAGACAGCGCAGAGTTAAGAACTCTCTGGGGCCAGCAAGTGGCAGGTGGTTAAGGCGCTGACTCCCACATGGCTGACGGTGGCCCAAGTCCCGGACCTGGCAGCTTGCTTTCTCACTTTCCCTCTCTTTCTGGTCAAATGAAAAAAAAAAAATAGAAACAATTTAAAAAAAATTAAGAATGCTCAGTCAGGGGCCAGTAGGTGGCGTGGTGTTTAAGGTGCTGGATCCCACATGGCTATCAGTGCTGGCTGGATCCTGGACCCAGTAGCTTGAAAAACGCCAGGAGCACATACATGTGTGCCCCTCCTCGGAGGGCTGGCTTCCCACTTTCCCTGTCTCTCATGGGTGAGAGCAAGCACCCTATGGCAAAAAGACTTATTAGATAGATAGATAGATAAATTGACAGATAAATAACCAACCCACCCACCCACTCCCCGGGTGTGAGGACGGGACGAGAGCATGTCTGTGCCATCACGGAGCCCAGGGCTCACTCGGTGCTGGATAAATAGGCACCCACGACAACACGGGCCGCAGACTGGGCTGGCTGCCGTTCCGGGACCTGACCATGCAGAAGCTCTAGAGCCAGGTCTGCTCTCACGATGCTGCCAAAGACCCGCAGAGCAGGCTGTGGCTGTCACAGCAGCTGCCAGCGTGGCACGACGGCACGCATGTCGGCATGCTCCCTGCCCCTCGCCCAGGGCCACCCACCTAGCTCAGAGACCACTTCCTCTCTGGTCACCGTGTCCTGGTCGAGAAGCTCTCCGATCTTCTTCAAGCGGCTGGAGTATGGACGGTCCTCCATGCCCAACCTGGGGTTGGAGAGATTTCAGGGTGGCCAGGCAGGGGAAGGGGCTGCAGGGGCAGGGATGTGGCTGGGCTGACACCCAGGCACGGCATCCCAGTGGGGCACCGGGAGGGCTAGTATGGGCAGGCTTGGTGTTCTGCGGGCTCCCAAGCCTTGAAACAGGGCCATAGCACAGGGCTTCTTCCCATCCCGCATCCCCCCGGGGTCTGCTGTCCAGGAAGGGAGGCTTTAGCTGCATGGCAGGCTGGCAGCGCCACCCCCGACCCCCACACACACCCAAGTGCATCTACAACCCTGCTCAGCCACACACTCACTCCCGGGCGTCTGACACGGACTGGGCGTCACCCTCCAGCTCCTCCATGTGGCCCAGGAGCTGCTCGAGGAAGTGTTCGCTGGAAGACTCGCCCTGCAGAGCCAGGTGCACGGCCAAGGCCTGCAGGATGGCGCCGTTGTAACCCAGTGAGGAGGCATGCGTCAGTTGGGCCGAGAGCCGGGCAAACTAGTGGGAGGAAGACGTGCCATCAGAAGCCGGCCTCAGAGGGGAGAGCCCGAAGCGGCCGCCCCGAGTACCTTCTGCACATCCTGGACACTGCTGTAGGCCAGGGAGATGCCAGCCACCCGCATGGCACCCCCATTTCCGTAGGAGCCTTTCCCATTAAACTGGGCCCGGGCAGGCTCGTAGACGTCGCGACACTTGGGGCTCAGGAGCTTCTTGAAGACGGTGATGACTCCAGCACCATAACCCCTGTCGGGGTCTTTCCTGTACTCCTGTGCAAACCTACGGGACAGAAGGGACACAGCACGCGGTATAAAGGGTGCCTCTCGGGCCGGCCCACGGACTGCTGGGTGGGGTACCAGAACCCACATGGCCTACTTGAAAAACACACTGAACGTGTGTGCCCAAAATCCCGACAGGAGGGAGGACTGGAGAAGAGACTGTGCTGTGACCAATCCCTTCAGAGGACGCCTTCTCCCTCTCTCCCTCTGATCAGAACGTGCACTCTTTGTCAATTAAAAGATGCTGTGGCCAATGGTGGCATGGTAGTTGAGGCACTGGACCCCACATAGCCAATTTTGTGCTTTGAGTCCCGGACCCAGCAGCTTGAAAAACACTCTGGGCACGTGTGTGAACCCAAAATCCTGACAGGAAAGTGGAAGAGAAGGGACTGCAATGCGGCCATCCCTCCTGGGGGGTGATTCTCACTTTCCCTCTGTCTCTCTCTTAAAAAAAAAAAAAAAAAAACTCTTGGGGTTGGGGTTGGGGAGTGGTTTGGAAGAAGCCTTGAGGACCTCAGAGCCTAAGCCCACAGAGCTGTCGCGTCCACTCCAGGGCGAGGCGTGTGTCCCAGAAACTGGGTCCCACTGAGGGTTGAGGGGTTGGGGTTCCAGGCACACACAGACATCACTCCTCTAGGCGGGGCCACAACTCTACCCACCCGGCCTCCCTCACCTCTGAGCCATGTCCACCTCGTCGAAGGCCTCCTTGGCCAGCAGGGACTGCACCAGGGCCCTGGCCATGGCCGTGTCATCTGTGTAGCACAGAGCTTCTGCAGGGACAGGATGGAAGCAGGTGAGAGCAAGCTGCATCGGAACGGCCTCAGGTCAGCCTCTGCCATCCTGCCTCCTGGGCGCTAGGAAGCCTCAGAGTTTCGGCTTTGGGACTCCCAGCCACCCTTCATTCCAAGCCCGTCACCATGGCCTGTTCCTTTCTGGAGAACCTTCCGTGCCCTCCCGGCTGTTGTCACTGTGGCTAGTCTTAACAGGACTCGCTCAGGCCACACAGAGGTCTGAGCACGTGCCAGGTCCTCAGCCTCCACCCACCCACATGTGCAGCCTCAAAGCTCCTCCTAAGAGGATGGTCTCACTTTCCTCAACTCTCCTGTTCAAAACGCCCATCATCCCCAGGACAAGGCCCTTCCCAGCCTGCCCCTTCCTCCCTAAACCTCTAGGACCAGTTTTGGGGCCTGGGTCAAGTCCTTCCCAACTAGAGCTGCTCCCTCCCTGTCCCTAACTCGGCACTGCGGGCAGCCTCCCTCGTGCACCTGTTTCCCATTCCTCCCACAGCATGGCTACGTCAGCCCCTTGGGCTCCCCTGCCCCCTCTCAGCATACCCCAAGCTCCTTCCCCTCCACTGTCAGGGGCCCTCCCTTACTCCCTAGTCCTCTGGCTAACGGGCATCAGTCCATACCACACCCTCTGGTCTCCCCGCATGAAGGGACCCTCAGGTCCACGGCAAAGCCCACTGCCAGCCCATCTCCTGTCCCCGCTCTCCCGTGTCCATGACCTCACTCCTGTGGTGGGGCAGCAGCCATCCTCCCCTTTGGTCACTGTGCCCTGCCTTTCCCTGGGTGCCACGGTTCTCTGCACTCGGTCCGTGTGACCAGGGCAGGGAGCTGAGCGCACTGCAGCCTAACTCAAGGGCACGACCCAGTCCCTTGTGCAGGGGCAGATGCAGGACCCATGCCAGGTCAGAACGGCTCCACGTGGGACTCCTGCTGGGAGCTGCAGGGCCATCCCAGGGTCAGGCCTGCCAGAGGGAGGGAAGCCCACCTGGAACAAGGGAGGGGCAGCGGTTAAGGAGATGGTCTGAGCCGGGTTCAGCTCTGCAGCCAGGCCTGCCTCCAGACTTTTCGATTACGTCAGCCAATGCGTCCTCCTCTCACTGAGGCACTTCAGGTCAGCTGTTCTGTCACTTGTATAAAAAGGGTCCTAAAACACCTCTCAACCTAAAACATGCTTTCTCCTCATCCTAATGTCACGCCAAAAAGGATATAAAAAACATCCCGGACAGCAGGTGATGGTTAAGGTGCTGGACACTCTGACATGGCTGACCACGGTTCGAGTCCCGGACCTGGTGGCTTGCTTTATCACATTCCTTCTCTGTCTCTCTCTCTGGTCAAATGAAAATGATTGAATGAATGAATAAAATTAAATAAACAATTTTAAAAATATCCCTTGGGCTAGATCTTGATGTGGTGGTTAAGGTGTTGGATCCCACATAGCTGATTGTGTGGATCAAGCAAGTCTCAGGTCCAGGGACTTAGAAAATACTTCGGGTAAGGGGCCAGCAGGTTGTGTGGTGGTTAAGGGCACTGGACTCCCACATGGCTCACTGTGGTTCGAATCCTGGACCTAGCGGCTTACTTTCTCACTCCCCCCCCAGTCAAAGTAACATAAATAAATAAATAAAGTTAAATAAAATAATTCTTTTTTTTTTTTTTTGAGAGATTTTCACTGTAGGGCGCGTGCGCTCGCCAGACAGACAGAGAGAGACATAGAGATAGAAAGCGAGAAATCACCCCCCAGGGGGGATGGTCACGCCGCAATCCCTTCTCCTCCATTCTCCTCTCGGGATCTTGGGCACACATGCACACGCGCCCGGCGTGAGTTTTAGGCCCCCGGATCCGGGACACTAACCGCGGTCGACTACGTGGGAGTCCAGCGACATAGCCATTACGCTAACTGCTGGTTCCCAATAAAATAATTCTTAAAAAACAAAACAAAAGAAAAATCTCTGGATGCATGTGCAAGAAAATAGAAGAGTGGAGGAGAATGGATTGCAGTGTGGTCACCCCCCGGGTAGTGATTTCTTACGTTCCCCCTCTCTGGATATCTGTCTCTCTCTGGCAAGCGCATACATCCTATAACAAACATTTTTTAAAAAGAAAAAAGAACAGGAAAATACACTGGATACATGTGCATGGATGCCCGAAACCCCAAAAAAGAGAAGCAGAGGTGAAGGGATTATGGTATGGCCAAGCCCCATAGGGAGTGATTTTTCACTTCTCCCTCCTTCCCTCCCTCGTGACATCCTCTTGTAAAAAATAAAAGCAAAATAAACAAGGCCATCCCTCTATCTTGTCTTCTCAATTTTCGCTCATCTCTCTCCTTCCCCTCATACCAACCATACTATTTCCAATTCTCTAAAAAGAATATTTGCCAGAGGGTAAGTGTACTTGCCAGAGACAGAGGTAAAGCAACCCCCCCACAGGAGATGGCCATGTCGCCGTCCCTTCTCTGTTCTCCAAGATTTTGGGCATGCATGCACACGCCTATGTGTATAGATGCCCAGTTTCTTGAGCTGCCGGGTCTGGAACTTGAACCATATAGGCTGGCCACGTGGGCTCCAACTCACATAACCACCTAGCCATGGGCTGGCCGTCCATTTCCTGCCATTAACAATGTTGCTCTGGGGCCAGCAGGTGGAGTAATGCTTACATTGCTGGACTCCTATGTAGTCGACTGGGGTTCAAGTCCTGGATCTGGCAACTTAAAACTCATGCTGGGTATGTGTGCATAAAATCCCAAGAAAATGGAGAAGAGACTGCAGTGTAGCCACGCCCACATGGGGGGGGATTTCTCACGTTCTGTCTCTCTCTCGCTCTCTGGTACGCGCCCTACAGCAAAAATATCTCTGGAAAAAATAATGTTGCTCTGGGGCCAGCAGGTGGTGTAATGGTTAAGGCGCTGAACTCCCACATAGTAGGCTGTGGTTCAAGTCCCGGATCTAGCGGCTTGAAACTCACACTGGGCCTGTGTGCGTGTGTACCCAAAATCCCAAGAGGAGAATGGAGAAGGGACTGCAGCGTGGCCATCCACCTTGCAGGGTGATTTCTCACTTCCCTCTCACTGTCTCTCTACAGTGAGTTCACACACCCTAGAGCAAAAATCTCAAATAAATAAATGTTGCTCTAGGGGCTGGCAGGTGGCATGGTGGTTAAGGTTCTGAACCCCCATAGGGTCTACCATGGGTCAAGTCCCAGAGCCCTCTCACCTTCTCTCTCTGTCTCTCTCTTGTGAGTGCACGTGTCCTATAGCAAGTTGAAAAATAAACAGAATTTTGAAGTAATAAAGATGTCGCTCTACGTCCAGCCTTCTCCCTACTTAACTTCTCTGCCACACAGCCGCAGTGACTGCGCCTTCACTTTAAAGTTGTTTCTCAGGTCCAGTCGCCACTTCCTTTCTGTTCCTTGGCTATCAGACTCCTTCCGCAGCTCCCCGCCCAGTGCCCTCCAAGTGTGGGTGTTCTCCAGGGTCCTGACGACGGCCCTCCTTACTCTGCAGGACCACAGACCCGAAACCTGCGCAGAGTCCAGGGTGGGAAGTCGACTGCACAAGGGAAGGGACAGGGAGGGGACGCAGCCGACAGCCCATGCGACAGCCCATGCCGGCTCCTGGGCTGGAGGACTCAGGGTGCGAGGGCGGCGAGTGAGACCCGGGGCGGTGTGCGAGGAAACTGGAGGCGCGGACGAGCGCCAGGTGGGTAGACTGCGCGTGGAGGACCGAGGCCCCAGCCTAAGGATGACGGGCGCCACCGCAGAGCCTTACGGAAAGGACACAGACTGACGCTTCGGCAGCGCTCTCCGCGGCATGACCGGGCTGGAGGCGACCACCCCCAGGCCCAGGATTCCGCGGGCTCGGACGGGCACGAGGTCCTGTGCTCGAGGGGCCGAGTGCTCCGGGCGAGCCGTGCAAAGACGGAGTTCCAACCTGGACCCGCCGACCGCGGTGTCTGCGGTCTTTGGGCCAGCGCCCCCAACTCGCGCACAGCGGGCTGGACCCCAGAGCCAGCCGGCCCGCCCGTCCCACGTGCGCCGGCCCCGCCCACCTGTCCGCGCGCTCCC